CGCAAAGAATCTGGTGGAAAAATACATTTCTACTAAAATACATTTCTACTACTAACCCAAACATATATGATTGAAATTTCTCATTTTTTTTGGAAAAATAAATTTTGTACAAGTTAAATTAAAAGAAATTTTTTCACTTTAGATATAAATAATTATATTTATTATTTTTTGTATTTTAATAGTAAGAAAGTATTTTAATACCATAATTAGTTTTTTTTTTGTTCTCCTCTTAATATTTTTATGCTTCAATTTTTCTTTTATGTTTTAATGTTTTTCTTTATGTGTTTGTATATTTTCCATCTTGAATATTTTTTCTCCCTTTAATAATTTTTCGGATAACTAAACCATGAAAGGATGAAAGTATACTACGTTTAAAACATATGAACTTATCGTCGGCGTAAATAATAAAGAGAAATTTCAAAAAATACCACTTTTCAAGTGCCACTTTACAAAAATGCCACACTTTTGAAATTTTTACTAAAATGCCACTTTTTCAAAATTATTTTTCTTTATATCATTTATGTTTGGATTAATTATGTTCTATTAGGGTTTAGTTTTGAGAGTTTATGAGGTTTTAGGGGTCAAAACATTTTTTAGGGTTTAGAATTTTAAGATATAGGTTTTATAAATCTATAATTAGTGGCATTTTTGCAAATGGGCACCCCTAAATTGCATTCTTGCAAATGTACACACAAAAAGTGGCATTTTTGTAATTGCCCTCCAATAATAAATTGCATTAATTACTTCATATCTCATATTCTCAAAGAGAAAAGCTATCTTTTCAAAAATAGAATGCTAAGTAAAGTAAAAAAAACTAACCTTCTCTCCCATGCACGGGGCTCGAGGTGCGTCGCTGCAAATGGAAAATCTCCGCCGGAGCTACACCGTTTCCTCACCGGTCTAACCTTGGGAACCAGTCTAGCCTTCCCCGAAGATCTCTGCCCTCCGAGCAAAAGAGTAGTTTGTGTTAGTCATCGGAAATGTTTATCTCAACACTTGAGATGGTGTCCTCCATGAGTCAAGCCCTCCTGGACTCACCAGGCGGTAAACTGTGTGTGGACAGGAGATCCGCTTTCTCTCGTCTCCGGTGGATGCCATTCTCAAGGAAGATAAACTCCTCTCGCCGCCTAAGCCACGAGACCCACCGGACCCTCCGAATGGATCCCCACCATCGAGGTACGCCACTGTTTCCCCTCCTCTGCTGCAGTGGTACCGAGTTTCTAAGTCCCTCCCATTACACGAACTTACCGGCCCTAAGACGAGATCTGACCGTCCGACGGTCACTTCCCTTCAACCTGCCGCTCCATTCTTAATCGAGTTTGCCTCCGCCGGGTAAGCTTCATGCTTCCGTAGAGAATCTGAGCCCACTTCTCAGCCCAAGGCTTCAATCGCTGCTCCATGGCCTAAAAAACCATCCCCGTCGCCGATTCTCCTCACCTCCTCCTCGACCGAGATCTGCCTCGTAGCCGAGGTTGAAACCATACTTACGGCCGTCGTATCTTCCATCTCCTATCCGGGAATGGCGGAAGTCGCCGGTTTACATTGGCTCCACTCATCGGAAAATTGTACCGTCGGCCGCCTACTCTATCCCACTTACCTTGTGGATCGAGATTGCAAATGGGCCTGTTTGAAGATTCTATGGGCTTTTTAAATCTCAGTTTAATGTTGAGGTCCAATACAAATATTAGTTTCTCTAATCTTGGCCTAGGTCCAACGGGTCCAAAAATCAGATCGGCAAATATATGTGCTGCTGAGTTTATGGGCTTCTCTTTTTTAGAAATCTAAAGTTTTCTGGATTCTCAAATCCTGTAATTTACTCTTGGTGGAAGAGTTTAATTCTACGTTCTTCCATCTCTTTGAGCATGGTTGTATTTTCTTCTCTCTCGCGGAGAGTGGTCGAATTCCCGAGCTTTATGTAGGGATCTTCAAAGTCACATTGTAAAGTGACCAATCTGAGTCTATCCGGCTTTGCTGCGAAGACACTTTTGACGCATCCGAGACATGTTTTGGATCCGTTGTCTATCTTCTGCGATGACCTATGTTTTTATTGCTTTCAATTATGTTGTAGTAATTTAGGAGGATGATCAATTCCATCCTTTTGTATTTTAATCGGTTAAATTAATGAAATAAGTTTGTTGAAAAAAAAAATGCTAAGTAAAACACGGAGAGCAATAGAAATTGTCAAATTGCCATCCAAATAGAAAGTGAAACATGAAAAAACCTCATTCGCTGCTCTATCGTTACCTTGAATCGATCCATAACTTTCTCTTATTCACTAAAATTAGACCATTTAAGCATCTTTATAAATTGATTCTCCTAGAAACTTAAACAATTAC